AGATCAGAAATGATGCATACGAAAGTGACAAGATTTATAAAGAGATGACAAAGGCGTATCATGACAAAATGATCTCTCAGAAGACTTTTGAACAAGGATAAAAAGTGCTTCTTTACCACTCGAGGTTTAAGTTGATTTCAGGGAAGTTAAGATCAAGATGGGTTGGTCCTTTCATGGTCACAAAGGTATTCGACCATGGTGCGGTGAAAATCACAAGCCAACAAACCGGAAAAACATTAAAATTCAATGGACATAGATTGAAGCCATTTTACGAAGGATTCGAGGTGAAGGATGAAGAGATAGAAGTGGTTGAGAACCCCAAGAACCAAGACTGAAGCATATTCGGGGGCCATGTCGAGCCAACGACTTAAAACAAGGGCGGCTAACCGGGAGGCAACTCGGGGGTATTTTTGTCTTTTACTTTAAAAACATTTCCATTTCTTTGAATTTTTTTCTTTTTATGTCCCAAATGCATTTAAACATGTTTTTAAATCACCAAACGGACCTCGAGATGTAAAACCATTTCGTTTGAATGAGAGGGGATTTTTGGGTTCAAAAAGTGGGGAGTGGCAAACAGAGTCGTACACGGCCCGTCTCCAATTTGCCTTATAATGAACACGGGTCGTGTTCATGAGAAGTTAATTTTTTTGGAGTCAGAGACGTACACAGCCCGTGTCCAATTTGCCTTGAACTGAACACGGGTCGTGTTCAACCATTCTCAACAATTATTTCACCCAACATGACCCGTGTGAATTCACACTAAAAGAACACGGGCCGTGTTCGCGCAGCAGAACATGTGGGTTTTAAGTTTTAAAATCGGGGTTTTCACTTCATTTACCCACAAACACTTCCCATAACAGCCCTTTCTCCGAAGAAAACCCCAAGGTCCGATTTTTACATGCATCCCTTGATTTTTTCATGATTTTGGCTTGAATCTTCAAAAAGGTTTGATTTTCATCTTCTCCACTTCATCTCCTACATCTCACACACCATTTTCTTACACTTTCATGGTGTATTTGGGGGTTTTGACAAACCCTAGGTCCGAATTTTTTTAAAGATTTTGGTGTTTTTGTGCTTAAATCTTCATGTAGGCAAGCTTGGGGAGGTTGAAGAAGAACTTTCTCACCAACAACAACGCATTTCCACCAACGATTCGGTATAATCTTTCAAATTCTTCACTTGTGGATTTTGTGTTTTTAAGGTCAAATTGCATGCATTTGTGGTCATATTGGACTTGACAATCACTTGGAAATCACTCAAAAACTGAGTTTCCCGTGAAAATTTGGTGGTCAAATTTGTGTTGACTGGACCCGTCAACAGTTGACTTTTTGACCTGTTGACTTTTTGTCTTTACCCCAAATTTTGCATATGGAAGGCGAGCATTCTAAACGAACTAGACACACTAAATCGTCGGCTCGTCGTCATAGGTCCCCATCGCCTCCGCCTAGGTCCCCATCACCTCCACCTAATCCTACACATGGTGGCGTGGTTTGTTCCGGTCCAATTCAAGTTGCCCAACTTGAGGCCTTTCTCCAGCACACTCATAGGGGTTCAGAAATTTGTGCATGTGCCATCTCTGCGTGAGTTGCACATCTATAATCAAGTCCACACCTTGTTCCGGAACATTGGATGACAAAGGTTGTTGCAGGTCCACGAGCTCAGTTACAAAGTCCCGACAGACGAGTTCTTATCTTCACTCTATTTGGACCACGGTGTCCTACATTTCCGGCTTATGAACCAAGATCATGCCTTGTCCCTAGACCAAATCAATGCCATAGTTGGGGCCCCCATAGAAAACACCTTTGGCCCCAATGACCCAATCCCAGGATACAGTGATCTTACGTGGTGGACTGACCTTACGCATCAACATCCCTATGTCTCAAGTTCTGTTAAGGCCTCATCTCTCATCCACCCTGTGATGAAAGTGGCCCACATGATTATTGTTTCACTTGTTGTCCCTAGAGAAGAAAGAAGCACCATTAGCGCTCTTGAGCTCAAAATGCTCTATGTGATGACCCACCCGGACGATAACCTCATTCCTCACTATGGCTCATTCCTTTGCAACAAGCTCACCCGCCTCAACACATCACGGTCCGAAAAAATCTATTGTGGTGGTATTGTCAGTTTGTTTGCTAAAAGTGCTCCAGACCGGGCCCCATTTCCCGGAACTCACCAACCCTTGCCCGGTGACCCCTACCTTACAACAGCAGTACTCGAGAGAATGAGGATGTTTCGGACGGAGGACGGGAACCACAATTAGACCGTGGGCCAAAACCACGACCCACGGCTCCTCATCACTCCCGAAAACCAGAACATCCTTGACCTCAGGCGGCCTACTAACTTCACCGACTGGAAAATCACGCCTTATCTTTTCCCCTTCTTCTTCTCCGAGGAGGAAGATGAGGAAGGTGGAGAAAGTGACGAGGCTGATGAGAGTGGCGGGGCGGCACCACAAAATTCTCCCATGGGCGGAGCCAGCTCATCTCATCATTCTGGGCACCCATCATATCACCAGCAATATATGGATCAATTCCAATCGATCTATACCCGCCTCGACACTTACCATCAAGATCTCACGAACCTAACCCAACGTTTTTCCTCCTTCACCACTCAATACGCTCGAGTCAAGAGCGTCGGCGCAAGCATGAGGAGGAATTTTGGGCATGGACCCGAAATCCCAGCTACTATCCTCCTCCTCCTCCTCCGCAATAGGTTGTTCCGCCCTCTCCGAGCATCGGGGACGATGCTATATCTTAAGCTTGGGGAGGGGTAGAGTTGCACACTAGGTTCATTCATGCATTTCATTCATATTCATGCATTTAAATATATATATATATATATATATATATATATATATATATATATATATATATTATACGAGATGATGACACTCTTTACATACAATAGCTCCATGAAGTGGGAAAACGAGAAATCAAATGAAAAAGAAAATACCCAATGCGACCGGATAGTTACCGGAAGTGTAGAATCAACTGTTATAACTAGGGGACCCAAACACCATAATTTAAGACCCCATCCTTAGATAATAAAAAAATGGCATACCGAAACGTTTTTGTGGGTGGTAATAACAGCTTTAGGATGATTTGCTTCTGAATGTTTAAAAAGAATCTTTATCGGCAACTATGGACCCATAGAACATGGACCTATTTGTTGACACGCATTACCCTCGCGGTAACAGAGAGCTTAAGTATCAGATCCACACAGTCAAGAAAGAAGAATGGGTACAACTGTCATATCAAGTACCTTAAAAAAATTCAAAAGTTGATTGAGTAATTCAAAGCTCTAAACGAAGATACAATTTCAAGTTCAATAAAAATCAAAATCCACCTCGAAGTCAAACCTGGCGAATGAAGAACTGTGTGATATGATACTTGTGGCTCTCGAAAAAGTGAAAGCATAGGAGCTGGCCCCCTTCGGGTGGGCTCACTGTTTCAGCGAAAGCTGATTCGCCGTGACGGGTTCTTATGGATCGTCGATTTTGATTATTGACCATCTAGTCTTAAGGACATGAGATCCTAAACTGTGTTATTTTCGCTCGCAAAAGCTAATTAAGGTATAAAGTTTAAATAAAACTATGATTGGATTATTGGATTACACTGTTTAGTGGTCTTCCTTACTTTGGGAGTCTGTGATATGTGGAAGGTAGCAGGATGGTTGCCTAGGTATTAATGATTGGAGCCCCATTGATGTAAAGTCTAATCATATTTATATTTATTTATAAAAGTAAATAAATTGCTTTTGTTCTAAAAATTTTCATTGGTTCATTTTGTTTCTCAAGTGTTTTTGTACATTTTTTTCTTTTTCATGATTTTCATTGCATGCATTCATTCCTAGCCTTTAGGATCTTTCCATCCCCTTCTGCTCTATGTTTCTTTTTGCCATCTAGAAATCGTCCTGTTTCGTCTGATTCTTGTGCTTTCTTGGGGACAAGAAAGGTCCAAGCTTGGGGAGATTTGTTAGGTGCATTTTGTGCACCTTTTTGCACACCTTTTAGTCTCTTTTATGCATTTATTTAGCTTAGTTATACTTCATTCTTCTTGCATTTTATCATATTCATTTTAGTATCTAGAACAACCTTATTTTCACACTTTCATGTCCTTTTCAGGTAAACCGGAGGTTGGATTGTGATTTTGGAGGTGTCGGGAAGCATTGGTGAAGATTTCGGGTTGATCGGACGCAAAGCGGAAAAGTTGAAAAAATGAAGTTTGGAATTGGAGTCAGAGGGGTACACGGGGCGTGTTGGTTTTACACTGCAGAATGGGCACGGGTCGTGTTTGACCATAAAAGAAGAGTTTGACCTTGCTGAACACGACCCGTGTCATTTTAGCCTATTTTAACACGGGTCGTGTTGGCCCAGCTGAGCAGTTTTGAGCATCGAAGTTTGGAGTTGGAATTGAGGATTGAAGACCATTTTTCACTCAACACGACCCGTGTTGATTTACTCTATTTTGACACGGGCCGTGTTCGACCCAAAAACTGTCTTTTGGCAGTTTTTCCTATTTTTCATATCATGGGAATTGGGTCATTTGGAGAGAGAGAGAGAGACAACATATCAGAGCACTATTGGTGTGGGAATTTTGAAGGTTTTTGTAAGGATTTAATCGGTTATCATTTGGAAACATTATTTCCTTTAATTGTAAGTTGTAATTGCACATCATTTCCATCTTTACAACTTGTGATTTTGTTTTAGCCATGTGTGGCTAGAACCCTAGTTTCTCCAACTTCATGTTTTGACTTTTTGGTTGTGATTTCAATCATATGACTTCGTTTAGTGTTGAGGTTGGAAGATATCATATTCCACCAAGAGTCAGTAACTGCAAGTAACCTCGACCAAAACTCCACATCCAGTGGGAGTATATGTAGCCTGTGTTTAGTGTTGAGGTTGGAAGATATCATATTCCATTCTTTCCAAAAACTCAACGTACTAGCAGCATGAACACTTTCCAACAGGCGATGATTTGAAACATCATTACTCTCTTCATTCACAATGTCTTTGTTTGCTTTTTCAGGACTCTCCACTGCTTTTTTTCCTTGTTTTGGTGATTTTCTTCAATTTTGGTGTGGATTGCATCTAAAAAATTAACATGTTAAATAACTATCAATAACATAATATTTTATAAATACACCAAATTTAAAATATGTGTTTTGTACCACTGTGAACGACATCCGCTGATACCATGCAACACCCCTCTTTCGTTGTGGCCTAACAATAGGAGTCACTATTTTTTTGTGATGTTCACCCACATCAGGTGACGGCTCAACATGCGTAGGTGTACGCCCAACTCCCCCCCTCCAAACCATGAGTACATATATCATCATAGTCCAAATGTGTACCATGGTAAAATGGTTCTTCCTCCCCTTCATTTACCATCTCCTCATCTTCTCCAAACCATGTATCTGGTTCATCTTGTTTCTGTAATATACGGTCTACTTTAGAAGTTAAGTCAACCACAATGCCTAGTAAACGCTTCACTAATTCCTTTATGCTCGTCTTCTTCTTCTTCTTCTTCTTCTTTACCGACCTTGTTGATGTGTCGCTTGACATATAAGTTCTTTCTACTACAGGCTGTTGCGAGGAAAAAGCATTTGTGGCAGATTCAGTCGAAGATGTTTCCGACTTGTACTTCTTTCTTCGAGGAGGCGAGACAACAACAGGTGGACTATCTGGGACCAGACTTTGTTGCCGCGGGGGGAGCCTCTTCCTGGTTAAGAGTCCAATTGACGTAGCGAATATAAAACGGCAACATCAGCTCCGTCGGGTTTGCCACGACAGAAATAGGTTGGTTGTTAGGTTGCAAAAATCAGATTGTTGGTTTAACATGAAAAAACATTGGAATTTGTAATTATATATAATCCTTAATATAAAAGGCATACCACAGACACGTTGATTATTCGACGACAATGAAGCCAAGATAACCGTGTTTTACTCTCCACGACCTCATCCGTGGCAATTCTGTCGGTATGCGTATATAAAACTGGGTGGCCTCTGGGAATGTCTCCAAAATCCATATCTATGAAAAAAAGGTAAATAGCATGTTATCTTGTGTACTTTCTTGGATTCGGGATTGGCCTGCTTGAATAGTCTAAATTTTTCTATTTTCTCAAACATTCCACGCATCAAGCCCGAAGTATAGGTCCAGAAATACGTACCCCATGCAAACCTGTAATTTTCAATTTATTTATTATAATTATTATTGCTGTATTTGTACACAATCTTGAAATGTAATACCTGTTCCAATCATCTATATTATCAGCAAGCTTGTATACTGCCGTGGGAATTGCCCGTTTTAATGCCCCGTCTGTGGAGACATTTCAACATAAAAACAAGTTGGATAAGCATTACAGCATCTTCATCCTGAAGTAACAAATAATTTTGAGACATAATGTAGTCTTCTAATTCTTTCAGCCGCAAACGTGCATCAGAAATGTCTGGAAACAACTGAGCACAAATATTTGAATTTGACCGACCTTTTTCGTCATGGAGTAAATCCACATAAGGACCAACTTTTAAACCACAAATCAGAATATATTCAGTTTCACCAAAATCCAACTGCATCCCCTCTATCTTAAAAAGAAACCTCCTCATTTCAAATACTTGTTGATACCTTACTTTATGCAACATCATCAAATGAACAAGGGGTCACCATGTGGGATATGCATTCCTAAGAATTTTCCAAACGGCGAAGCTTCAAATAATAGTCGTTGTGATTGTGTTAGGCGCGGAAAATAGTCTTTAATGATCGTACCCACCACACCTTTTAAAGTTAAATCTGCTTTTTAATTGAGATCATCGTGCTACAAAGCATATACATTTAATTTCATATAAAATGTTAGTAATTGAAAATAAAAAACAATGTTTCAAAATTACTTTTCTAATTCAGTTTATGAAATAAATAACAACGTACTTTTTATATAATAATAAATACCTCATATAAAAGGGAAGATTTTTTTTTTGGAAAAAGCTATATTTCCACGTCATTCCACGGAGGCTAGAGGTCATTCCGCGGAGACCCCTCTGCGGAGTGACCTACATCTCCGCATAGACTCAATTTTTGGGTGTTTAACTCATTCCGCGGAGAGATACCTCATTCCGCGGAGGATCCTCTGCGGAATGACGTACCTCTCTGCGGAATGGATCTTCCCAAAATCGACTCCCTGTTAATCCTAACATCTACAAAATCCTAAATCCAAATCTATATATATATTCACGGTAATCAATCAGATTTTCGTAAGATTTGAATCATAAATACGACATTAATCAAAAGAGGGGAATGTGAGAAATACCCGGGAGCCGTATCCATCGGCAAATATATCGGGGAAATTGCGATCCATCAGTGCCAGCTTTACTGTTTCACGTCGTTTGATGTCGTTGTCGTTAGGATTGAAGTCGTCGCCGGAAAAAGATCGAAATACACGATGGGGGACCAAAGAGGGGGACCGATGCGGAGAGACGTTCAAAGTCGAAGAGGAAGCGGGGGACCAGTGAGGGACCAAAGAGGGGGGACCGTTTTTGTCAAAGAATATGTTGGTAGAATTTAAAGAATAATGAGTGGTTGTACGGTGGAATCGAAACTTCAAACAAAAGGATTTATGAAAGAAAATATGTAAGGGAATATGATGTGAAGATGCAAAAAAAAATACATAAAATTCTATTCAAGTTTTTTTGACATAATTATCTTACATTTTTAATAGTTTTTATTTTATTTTTTGGCTTATTAAATAATAGATATTGATCAACAAATGATGTATATACATTTTCTTTCAAATATTAAACAAATATATTTCATGTATATCAAAGTGTTCGACGTTAAAAACAAGGAAAATCTATAGAAAATTCTCAAACTTTTGGAAAAAGTTTCAAAAAAGTCCTAATTTTTTTTAACAGAAAAGTCTCATTATTTTGAGAAAATCATATAATTTATCATTTGCTGTTCAAATATAAAAAATGAATTTTTCGTTAGTTTGAGTAAAATGTTAAATAATCGGGACTTTTATGTTAAAAAAAAACTTTTAGGACTTTATTGAAACTTTTTCAAAAAATTTGAGACTTTTATATAGATTTTCCAAAACTCTTCACCATGCAAATTGTCCCATATTAAAAGTTACATGCAAACATCCTATAAAAAAACCCTTACTTTCCTAACCCATGTCACTCACTGCCTAATTCCGTGGAAAAACTTAACCACCAAGCTAATTGAAGTATACATGGACAATTTAACTGAACATTTCCTAAACTCATCAAAAACACCCCACGTAGACCTTCTCCATGCAATCCCATTTCCATGCATAACCTTTTTTTTTCACGTTTAGGCTACCAAAAACCTTAACCCCAACAACCAACCGACTATTTTTCTTCCTTTATGATTATCCTTCGGTCCTAATCTCCAGCATCCAATTACACTTTTGGAATAAAAATCCTATGCAAATTTACAAGCACCGCCGACTTAAGCATCCAAAACCACGTCCTAAATCCTGATCATAAAACTTTTTTAACCAGACACACATTTTAATATCGCACGCACATGCAACAATTACTTGTCAAAATGTCATCCCAATTCCTTCACACTCACGGCACTAACACATCCAAACACACCTTACATAATTCGACAACTACTTTTCCTAAACCATTTACAATTCTTTAATTACAATGTCCCATATCGCTAAAAAAAACAAAACTCGGTCTCTCAAATTAACCTATAAATACATCACCAATCAACCACTTTCAAATCATCCGTAAAGATAACATTACGCGCGGCTAAGCATCTCGCGTTCACCTCCTGGTATTTTTGTCGAATAAACTAAAAAATTCCTTTTGTTACTTAATTCTACATCACTCACAATATAACCATATGCTAATTAATCTGATCTCAACCAATGATTTTTTCAAGATAATCATATATATAATCAACATCAACATGGAAGTCAATAACTCGTAATTACTTTACACATATAAATATTTATTTATACTTGTTTGGATGGAGTTGGTATAATTTATCATTTGTATTACCTAATCTAATTATCAGTTTCAAATGTATTAATAATAGATAAACCTAGAAGAGTGATATCCAGAATAGTCACGATCCTCTTGGTTGTTGGATATTCCAAAGATTGTATATTGGAAGGATATTGGCTCTCGACTGTCTTGTATGACCACTTTTTGCTTGGTAATCAAGTGTATTATATTGGAATTATAAATTGATACAAACAATCAATTTGATTCTTACATATCATTAACGTAATACAGTCTATGCCAAACTCACAATTGTTAAGGAGCTAAGACAATTTGTAGACAAACCGGAGACTGTGCCTAAGGTGTATCATATTTATATTAATTAATTATTTGATTAAGTCTTTTTGATACAATTATGTCTTTATCATGATCCAAATAAGAATGGAAATTGAGATAAATATGTCGATCTTAAATTTAATATTGATACTTAATCCTACATCACTCACCATATAACCATATGCTAATTAATGTGATCTCAACCAATGATTTTTTCAAGATAACCATATATATAATCAACATCAACATGGAAGTCAATAACTCGTAATTACTTGCGCTTAGATTTCAATGCATTTATAGTAATTTGTCTTTGATTATTACTTTTCATTAAGAACATTGAATTTTACTATTTTGTTTGTACTTGTAATTATTAGGATAATTGTAAATTTCATTGTGTTTTCTTGTCGAGTTTGTTGTTTTAATTCGTAAAACATCATAGTGTATATCATTGTGTGTACCGCAGTCAGTTTATTAAGTAGTGGAAACGCACAATTGACGAAACATACGATTTGTCCAAGATGTGGTAATATTTTTGATTTTGATAGCACACTAATTTAATTGATTTAATTGAAAGACACCTTATTGTATGTCTATTGTTGATGTTGAACATATTAATAGACTTAAGGATAATGCAAAAAAAAAATTAGAGATTTCAGTCATTATTTAAAGAAAAACAATTTTCATGATTTTAGTGTCCCAAAAAAACCAAGTGATCAAGTAATTATTTTAAAAAATATGGTTACTCTAAAATTATTTACAAAACTATAAAGTAACTTTTATTTGAGATTATTAAACTATTTAATTATAAGGGGTAGTTTGTAATTTTTTTTTTTCAGAACGGCGGAAAGGGTAGTTCGTAGTTATGACAGCTTCTTAGGCAAGAGTGTGGGAGTCGGAGTTTGCGTTTTGACGAGTTGGAGGTATGAAAATGTGAGGGAATAGTTATGGAAGGTGGTAGAGAGATGCAACAAGTGTTGTTGTTGGAGAGAACATGGTGGTGATTGTAGGGATATTTTAAAACAGAAGTTAGCATACGTTGGGGAGTCTCTAGCACAGATTATGTACGTCGGTTGTTAGAAATAATGGCGGAGTAGGCGGTGAGTGAGATACGACACGAAGCAATGATAGTATAAAGATGGATGGTGGGAGTGGAAAGGTACAGAAAATCGGTGGTGGTGAAATGGACATAATTATACTATCCTAATAAATTGATTATAGACCACCACCAGTGATATTTCATTTATCCATTTTACCACAATCAAACTAGTCTTTATACAATTACCATCCTCCCATGCCTTATTCACTTTCTACACCCCCATAGTTTCCAAAAACATACGAACATAATCAGTGTCAAAGGTTTCGTAATTTGTGCAAACAGATTCTTTAAAATCAAACAAATTAAATTTAGTCGATCACTATAACCGATCGGCTTACTCATCCCAACCACCCTCACCTTGTTCGTCCCTTACAACAACACTTCGTCACACCTGTTTACCACCTATTTTATTTGTTTTTACGTTCTCATAACTCCAACTCCAACTCCTCAAAACACACACCCGACTCAACACTCTTGCCATAAAAAAACATCATAAGGTGCCCCATATCAAAAATGGAGTTGGTGAATTGTATGAATACCACATATTTTAATTGTATGCTTGTTGTTTGAGTACGTGACATTAGAAATGGAAGATATTGGTAACGTAGAGAGGTGCAACAAAGCATCGTTGTCGGCGGCGACAAACATGGTGGCAATGGTTATGACGAGTGTGATGGCAACAGTTGTAACGGTCATTTATTAAAAAAAAATATATGTAAATTAGAGGTGGTTTTCACAGCTTGTGAAGTCTTTGACATGGATTAATGATTATGTTCATAGTTTCTTGGAAACTCTACTTGTGAAAGTAGTGAAGAAGTTGGGCGTTAGGAAAGTGGTGATAGTATAGAGATGGGTGGTCGTGGTGAAATGGATAGAGGAGGCTAAGGTAAAAAAATTCTTTCCACCACCCATTTAACCAACACCATTTGTCGCTATGCTATCGTTGATTCCTTCCACGCTTTTGTTTTCAAGACTTCTTAGCTCATACAAACATATTCTTTGAAACCAAAAAAAGATTATTTGATTCCTACAACTCTTATCTCTACTAGGTTGGATCGTTTTGGGATAAAACCGAACCCAACCCGTCTATTTCGGTTTTTGGACTTTATAATCTAATGGGTTCGGTTTTTCAGTTTCTAGAGTCGGTTTCTCGGTTTATGGGATCAACCCATGG